GCATGACTTTGATAATGTTCTGGACTGGCTAATCAGTGTATTTCATTATAAAACATAAAAAAAATGTTATATATAGATTTCTAAAGATGTCCTTTTAGTGCAACAGTGCCACTGTATAATAAAAACTGACTGCATTCCACTGCTTTCCAGCGCTCTATGTCACTTAAACGCCAAAATCGTCTAGAAATCACATGAGGAATAAACTTTTTAAATTTTCATAAATTCTTTGAAATGCCATTAATAGATGTCTTTCCTAATCTTATTTCATCGCTAACAGCGTTTTTAATTAAAAACATCAAAATCCTTTTCATTTCTTCAAAACAAATAAAGTGCATAAAATCAACTGGAAACTTAGTTACCATTCCAATAGGCAAATTTTTAAGAGAAGTATCTCCAATGTGATGATAAGCATCTGTCATATCATTAAAAGTACGATCAGTTCTAAGCGGAGCATCTGTATTAAGAAACGTAACCTTGCTGTACCATTCCCTTTTTTGAATATACTTATCACAACTATAATATCCAGTCCTTTACTTTGTTTTATATATGCCCTTTTTTTTTTAAATATATATTTTCTGTTTATTTAATAAGAAACATAACTACAAAGAAACGTTTACATACAAAAAAAAATGAATTTATAAAAAACAGGCAAGGGTTCAAAGAAGATACGGATGACTAAAGTCACTACAATCTTTTCATAGAGCCCCTAGGTGGGCTTTGCAAGTTAAAAAAAAATAGTATCTCCAATATAATAAAAAGGTTAAAGCTTGCATAAATATTTCCATTAAATCAAGAAAGTAAATAACATCATATAATTTTATCAATATTTATTAAAGTATATTGGCAACTCTGTTAAATATCAAAATAAGAGCCAATTAAACAAGTAAAAAAACTAAGAATAATGGAACTCGTTTTTCATTTCGAAAAATCAAGAAAACTATTTATCTAATTTAAAAATTTCATTTTTTATTATAAACTTAAAGGAATTTAATGATTTTACAGAATTTAAATTTTTTGTTTTTTGAAAAGTGTTCCATAGTTTTGGTCCACGGTATGATATTCCATATTCAGAATACTAACCATTAATTCTTTGTAATTTATAAGTATTCCATTGGTTTATTCTAAGAGAATATTTTTTGTTTACATTTATTTATCATTAAAGTTTTTTGGAATCAAGCTGTTGTTACATTTATACATAAAAATTAGGTGTTGGTAAATGTTGATTTCATATATATTCATCATTTTCATGTCTTCCATTAATGGTTTTGCATGTTCATATATTTTTTTTTATATATAAGTCTGCATGCATGTTTTTGTAAAGAAAATATTTTTTTAAGTTTTGTTGGTTAAGTACTAGCCCATGTGATATTGGCATAGTATATGAAACAATGTATTAGGCCAAAATATACTTATACCAAGAATTGACCCTTGTGGAACTCCACACAAAATATTAAGTATCCCTGATTCCTTACCAATAACATATTGTTTTCTCTCAGTGAGGTAGCTTTTTAACCAATCATAGGTTTTATTTATCACTCAGTAGTGGTTTATTTTTTCCAAAAGAATTAGGTGATATACCGTATCAAATGCTTTTAATAGGTCAAAGGAGTGAAGCTACATCTCCAAAAACGTCGGCCAGTATTTAAGCTTCTATATCAGCTGCAAATGCAAGCCGGCAAACGCAAAGCCTGGGCAAATAAAGCAAAGTGATAGCATATAATATTATTGAAAGGTTTGAGCAGGGTCGGCTCAGATCTTATGCGAGCAATGCGGCCGTGTGGAGCCTCGCGCATAAAAGGGCCTCGCATTGCTCTGTAGAAAGCTAGATAAAGAGGTATATATCTATCTCTAGCTTTCTAAAAAATCCCTGCAGGGCCCCAATACGCGGAATTTTTTTTTTAAGTTTTCTATAAAAGATTTAATAATCAAAATAAAAATAATTATGTGCATAATATATGATATTTGTGAAAAACTTATTACAACATGTATTTTTGTTCAATATAATTACTAGCGACACTATTAATTATATATATATATATATTATATTATATATATATATATTTTTTATATATGTTTATATTTTTTATATTTCAAAGACGATTATATATAAAAACACAATTTAACCCTTGTTCATTAATACTTTTTAACCCCTATTAAAGTGGCCTAATATTTGATCTTTTAACGACACGTTTTGTTAATAAAGAATCACTATATTTCATAAAATAGTTCTAACTGTCAGGTTGGTATATAAGTAATGTTATTTTTTTGAGCTAGTGCTCATTTACCATGTTTGGGTTGTATTAGCGCTTTTGTTACTTTTTTAAAACCTTTGCGTTATTAAGAAAAGATTTTGGATGCCCAAAAATATAAATAATCATGAGTAGTTATCTCTAAAAGTTGTATGTTTGCAAAAAATTTGTGTCCAACATAATTGTTTTTAAAAATATTCCAATATTTGCTTAAGGTGCTCATAATACCCTAAACTACACTAGTAATATCATTTATGATTACTTTAACGATTATACATTAATTTAATTTTTAATTTATTATTTTCTTTATTTACCTCTGACAAGTTTGTTGACCAAAAAACTACCTCTATCATTATATCTTTATATTATATAAATACTTGAAGAGAATTTGCTTAAAGCTTCAAGATTATTTTTTTAATTGTATTTTTACTCAACCTTTGGGGTAAAATATTACTTTAGTATTTTTTTAAATACCGTAAACTCATGTATGTTCGGTTTCAACCTTTAAACATTTATTTATCACGCTTAAATAAAAAGTTTTCAATTTTTTTTTCTGAAACATACATAAAATTACATTAACAATTGGTATTGTGAAAATAAAAAAATTCAAAAAATTAAAAAAAAACTCAATATTTAATTTAAAATAAAAACATCTACTTTGACCGAACTTTCAAATCCATCTCATAAGTTTATCTGCTATATATATATATATATATATATATATATATATATATATATATATATATATATATATATATATATATATATATATATATTTATATATATATATATATATATATATATATATATATATATATATATATATATATATATATATATATATATATATATATATATATATATATATATATATATATATATATATATATAGTAATATACTATATATATATATATATATATATATATATATATATATATATATATATATATATATATATATATATATATATATATATATATATATATATAATATATATATATATATATATAATATACTTATATTTTATATATATATATATATAATATACTTATATTTTATATATATATATATATATATATATATATATATATATATATATATATATATACATATATATATATATGTATATATATATATATATATATATATATATATATATATATATATATATATATATACATATATATATACATATATATATATGTATATATATATATATACATATATATATATATATATATATATATATATATATATATATATATATATATATATATATATATATATATATATATGTATATATATATATATATACATATATATATATATATATATATATATATATATATATATATATATATATATATATATATATATATATATATATATATATATGTATATATATATATATATATATATATATATATATATATATATATATATATATATATATATATATATATATATATATATATATAATATATATATATATATATATATATATATATATATATATATATATATATATATATATATATATATATATATATATATATATATATATATATATATATATATATATATATATATATGTATATATATATATATATATATATGTATATATATATATATATATATATATATATATATATATATATATATATATATATATATATATATATATATATATATATATATAATATACTAATATATATAAAAACTTATAACGTATTACAAACTTAACGCCACAAATGTTAAAAAAAGCTTTTTAATTTGTTGCTTAATTGTAAAACTATGATATAAGTTTAGGTAATACCAGTAACTAAAGTGGACGTCGTTCAGGGCTCAAAAAAATAAGTTTTTCTAAATATAAGTAGTAGTAATTTCAATTTTTCTTTCAATTAGTCAACTATTTTATTACTTTGACTATAATGACATTGCTACGCCACTAGGTATTAAAATTAAAAATATATTTTACAATTAATTTAGAAAGTTTTTTTCAATTAACAAAAAAAAAAAACTACTTTGCTTAACATGAACTTTTTAAGTTTATTGGCAATTCTTGCACGTATCGTTGACCATTATAAAACATCAAAATCCACACAACTAATTATCACAGGGTTCGCAACGCACCCAAAATTGTCGTTAATTTGTAAATCTTAAAACAAAAATATCACAAGCCTGATATTTTTTTAGAACTAATAGAGCCGTTGGTTAATTTTGAAATTATGAACAAATTTTTTATTCAAACAAAAAATCATGGTGTGCATCCATGATTTACAGGTAAAGTTATTGGTAAATTTTACACTCGCAACACTTTTAAACTTTTCAAAATATTATCGCTAATTGTCTCCTTCGTGAGTGACCAAAGTTAGAGTATTTCAAAGTTTCACTAATTTTTAAAGAAAAAGTAGTTAGTTTTCAAATAATTATATATATATTTTTTTGTAAATATAATTAATTAGGCGATTTTTAATAATACTAACATTAAATTTTGTCATATTTTTTAATAACTTGCTAATTTTAGATTTTATTTGTACCCATTTTTTTAAAGTGTTATTTTGCTGAAGAATTATTAATTTTTTATAAATTCATATTTACGAACTAATTACAATTATTATTTGAAAAAAAAGTTTGTAAAGTTTGAGTTTTGCATGCTTTTTTTTATACTTTTTTTCAAATTACCGAGATTATATGGTGATCAAACTTAGGCGATTTTATGGTATTGGTAAAGGTTTTGTATTTTTTAGGTTTTACAATTTTTGATGGTATGTTTAATTATGAAACTATCCTTGACGTTAATCTATTTAATAATGTTTGGCATTCTTTTAAAGAAACTTTTAAAATGGAAAATGGTGACAACTTTAAAGTAGGTTGTTGTTTTAATTTCATATTTTCTTAGTAATGAAATTGGTTTGTTAAAATAGCTGTTTACATTATTATAACTATTATATTAAAGCTATGCGGGGTTTCCAGTACATAAACAGATAGTTTAAAGTTTCAGCAAAACCTATTAATGAAATTATCATGTTGAAAAGTTTGTTTTTTCTTTATTGTCTAGTTAACAGTGTGTTTAAGTCCAGCGGATTCTCGCATGGGCCTTTCACTTTTTGTCTAAATATGAACATTTTACCAATATTTATTTTTTTATACTTCTGAAGAAGGTCCACAAATAATTTTATATTTATAATTTTTTTTTTTTGTTATGTATACATATTTCTGCGGGCTTCTTCAATATTTAAAAAAAAGTCTATTATTAGAAAATTGTTTATGTTTTATTAATAGTTTTTGTAATGTTTTGTACCTTATCATAAATACATCTGAATAACAGTAGTCAACAACAGTTGTTTTTCTGATATTTAGTTATTTTACCATTGTAATGTTTTCTAGAAAAATTGTTAAAAAGAGCGAGAAATTTGACCTAAAACTTTAAAACTTTAATTTAATTATTATTATTACTATTATTTTATCAAATACGTTTACAAAGTAAAAATGTTTATTAAACTATCTAAATAAACATTACATAAAACTTAATTGAAAACTGTATTGTTTTCTAGAAAAGTTATGGATTTAAACACTATGCAAAAGTTCTACCTCTTTTGAACTATAATCACGTCAAATTAAGGACGTTTTTCAACTTTATTTTAAATAATGTAAAGCAAACCGACTAAGCAAAATCGTAAAGATGTTAAAAAAGAGATATTAAAAAAATCTTTAACTCTGTTTTAAACAATACCAACAAAAACTATAGACTTTTTTTACAAATACTACCAGAAATAGTTAGTTTTTAACAAAATTTTTGTTTGTTTCCATTTATTCAAAGTTATAGGCTAAGAAAAATTTTTTGTTTAATTAATTTTATTTAAAGTTATTGCCAGCCAAATATGAAGTTTTTATTGAAATTTTTTATTTAAGTTTTACTAATTTGCTCCTGCCCTTTCATCACGAGACCCCGCACTACTATACCTGAACTCTGTTCCTAATGACGAGTAAACCGCCTGGCAGTCCATCAATAAATCTGAATTTTCCTGAACATGGGAAAATTTTTTAATATATCTGAAATAGAAATAGAGTTTTGGAAAAAGTTTAAGACCACCACGTATAAATGCTATACTTTGGTGCCTAAAATAAAATTGAGCGTGTTTAAGTTTTTATTTGGCAACTATAGCTAGTTTACAAAATTTCCCAATTATCAATGGTCAATTTCTGTAACAAATAGGTGTGCAATTTCGCGGAAACATTTTTTATCTAGGTAAGAAGATGAAATTTTTGTGTAATATTCAATGCTATTTTAAAGAAATTTTGCATTAGCAAACTGCTTATATTTCTTAAATTGCACAATTATTCGTGAGCTGTTTGTTGCCCTTAGCAACATAATGAATTATGAAACTATTTTATGTTAGATTATTAGACACATAATACGCGTTTGAAACGCGTTTATATTACATGTATGTACAAATGCAGACAGGCATTGGCTTTAAAAATAATAACGATAAACTAAAACTTAAAATTTTTTAAAATTAACTTGTACAGTTTTTGATATGCACATCTACATTATAATTTTTATAATATAATAAAAAAAATACACGTTAGCTTTATTTTAAAATTGCAAAATTGCACAAAAATTAGTTGTACACTAATGTATTCTAGTAGAGGATTTATTTACCTTACATTATATAAATGTAATATTTTTCATACTTTTTTACAGTTATTGTTTATACAACTAAAAATGCACTATACAACATCGTATTCAAAAATTGCATTGTTAGGCGAACAATCGAAACCCATTTTATTGAAAGATTTGACTGCGTTCACCTTTTGGTGGTGCATGATAAAGACGGGCAATTTTGAAGAAAAACAAAAATTCTGATGTTTTTCAATAGTTCTTCAAAGTTTAAGAAATCTATATCAGAAACAAAGAAGTTAAATTAGCCAATAGAAAAGTAATTACTTTAACCTAAATGCATGCAACCAGTTTATAGACACACACCACACCCTTAATAGTATTAGAAGTTTAAATTGAGTTATTTATTTTTTAAACTTATTATTTGATAAAAAATTAGCATTAAATAATCTTTAAAAATATTTGAAAGAAATTATAAAATTGAAGTAATCTAATTAGTAAATAAAATAAAAGGCAAATTTTTCTTACTACATGCTGCTATAAAAATTATTTTAAATAGGCCTTTAGTAGGAGGTTGTTTTAACCTTGATGCAGGAAAGTAAGTTGTCAAGCACAGCGTGCCAATACTTAAAAAATAAAAATAAAAAATTACTACTGTCCTATTAAATTATCATACACGTTCTACTTTCATTTAATTTGTAAATTCTAATTAAAAATCTACACACACTGTAATTTGAGTAGCTTGTTAAACAGCCTAGCTTTAGATATTTTGTTGTGGATTAAATAGCTAACCTTAAGCTTAACTCAATCTCTATATATTATTACCGAACTTAATAGTGTTAGTAGTAGTAGTAGTGTTCCTTCGTGCGTGCTTGACACGAAACCCTTGGCGGCCATTGCAACCGAGGTAGTAGTGAGAAAGAGTCGCAGTACTTTGGTTAAAAGAAAACGTGAAAAAGTGTATGCAACAATCTTATTTCTTTAAACTTGAAATTATGTAATGTAAAAACCTATTAGGACACGTATCAAATTTTACAGTTTGACTTTTACTTGAAAACTGCCTTGCGGCAACATCTGCTTAACTTTGCTCTTTAGCATTTATTACCGTTAAAAAAAAGTATTATAAACTTTTAAAAATTCTCGTTTTTTTTAATGTGCCAGCGTGGCCTAGTGATAGGCGTGCTGATGTTCTTATCAAAATAGCCGTGGTTTGAGTTCAACCACTTGCGAGTTTTCTTTTTTAAATTTTTTTCAATTATTTTAAAATATAAAAATAATATTGAAGTTTTTTAAAGATTATATAAAAACAAATGTAACAATATTATACACTTTTACTAACGAAAAAGTTTTTAAAAAAGCTAAAATTTCTAAAAATATCAAAAAACCGGGATTAAATTTGTTGCTTATGTGTCTTGATTGAGATAACTCATTAATAGTTTATTTTAATAATGAGTTCAGCTAATTAGTCCTAATAAGCTGCGGATGGTCTAAAAACAAAACTTGTCTAAAACTTAATATAGAAAAAACTTTCTGAGAGAGTCCTGCTACTCCAGGCAAACAAACAAAAAAAAAGCCATTGCTCCAAAAAAACTTTAAAACTTTCTTTTGACAATTAAAAGTTTTTTTTGCTACATTTATCTTTTTACTATAACTTTATGGATACAAAGTATATATTGAAATGAATTAGACGCAAAACTTAAAAGGTCTTATCCTAAGCCACTAAACAGGGAAAAGTAAAAGTAATTGCAATTCAGTGAAAATTAAAATTTATTAATTAAATTTAGTACAGTAAAACTTTGAAATTTTGAGTATAGTAAATTGGTGTTTGCAAAGAAACATTATATAAATCATTTTTTTAATATAAACTAGTTTTATTTTCAACTTTATTGTATTTGCAGGTTTAACGCATAACCACCCCTATATAAACATTATATATAAACAAATATGTTATTTGTTTATATATATTGTTTATAAAATATAAAAAATCCACTTTTATGACGTTTTATTCAGGAAAGTCTTTTTTGCTCAAGTTTTTTCGTTTTGATTTTTTGTATGTATGTTATTGTGTTATTGTATTTAAAAAAAATAGAGAAAATTGAAAAAACACGAAACATATTGAAATCCCAGTTGATATTTTGAAACTTCAACTTTAGATTCGCCCTCTCTTGATCATCACTGATTTCTAAAATTACGCCACCTGCTCCTTAGACCATATAAGAGACGCAGATTTTTTCATAAATCGTTGAAGCCACAATTTTTATGCATATGTGACGTGACTTTGTGGGAAAAAAACAAGAAAAACAAACTAGAAATTAGATTTTACTATCATTTTTAGGAAAACTTCTATTAAAGATATATGGAATTTATTTTTATTATATATATTCTAATAACGACAAAAACAATTTATTTATTACTATAGTAAAAAATACAAACTCTTACCCGTGAAATAAAAAATATGTAACAGTTTTATATCTTTTTGTGAATTGTATGCAACATAATTAAAAAACATCAAAAATAGAAGATAAATGCAAAAGGAAACTTGACGCATAAAAGTTTAATTTGTCTCTAAAGAAGTCAAATTTTTTTTGATTAGCGTTCAATAGCTGAGGCTATTATTTTTCAGTTTTCAATCATAATTACAAGAATAAATTTTTTTTTATGATTATGTTTTAACAATGAGGTATAATAGCGTAGCTGGAGGGAGAACGAAGCCGAAAACGGATTTAAATTGCGTTACAGTCTTTGAAATAAAATTATTTCAGTAGCTAGTCAAAATGTTAGTAGCTAGGCAAAAAAAAATGAAAAATTTTGAAATGTAATCAGTATGCTTTGAGAGTTTTAATCTCAAAGCTTACTGATTACATTTTTAGTTTTATTAAATGGATTAATAAAATAAAAGTTTGTTGGATAAGTTTTTAACAACTATTCGATCAATCAGGAAGTTAATTAATACAAAAGTAATGATTAAGGTGAAGTAAATGTTTCTTGCGTACCTTAATTAAAGGTATAAATATCAAAGTTTTAGACAATCTCTACTACTTATTTGAACCTTAATTTTGCTTGCCTGTTCAGCTAAAGTTTAGTTACGTTCCTTAAAACTGTTCTTTTGGCCAGGAACTTATTAAATCCCACCGGAATATTATTTTGTGTTCGGTTATTATGAAAAAAATATAAAGAGATACAAAATACATTACAAAAATACTACCAATTCTTATCTAGACATTTATTAACTCAATTCTAATCTA